TTCAATTGATTAACCGACGTGAATGCGTTTAATTATATATAATTATACTATATTATATATATAACATATAGTTATATTACATATATGTATATATATATATATATATATATATATATATATATATATAATATATACATATATTTGTGCGTGCGTGTGATATATTAAAATTAAACTAACCATTTAAAATCATTTTTATATAAAATCATAAAAGTGTAACAACTGGAAAACACAAACTCGTACACAGTAGTACAGACACACACACACACACAAACACACACACACAAACACATACAAACACACAAAAACCCCCACACCTACTAAACTAAACTGAACTTCAAAGCAACTTGATGACGCAAACCTTATATTTATACATCACTTCAATTCGGTAAATAAACAAATATAAATAAATTGAATCAATTATCAATTGACATTTAATCATTTTACTTGACGTTTGAATTAGATGTTTATTTCATGCCTTAATGTTTTGATGGATAAATCATAATAATTTTTATCTAATCAATTTAAAATATTGGCAAACGCTAGGTACCTAAATGAAGGACGTTGATATTTCAAATTAAAGCTTGTTAAAAACTTATATTTTGTCAGAATTGGTATTTGAATTCGGCAAGAAATCATCGTAATGCTTCAACCCCTCATACCCCTTCCGATCAGCGACCAGACCACAGCCAACAACTGCAGCAACGACATCTTCAACGAATGTTGCGACAACGGCAACAAGATCGTTAACATCAACGACGATGAAGCAATCAACAACAACGACAACATCATCAACGACTTAATCGTCGACAACAATAGCAGCATAATACGTTGCAGTTCACTAGCGCAGTACATCTGCGGAAACAACAGCAGCAACAACAACACAAACCATCCAGTGACCACCAGAATGAAGCAGACGACCAACCTCAACAACAGCCACCTGGTAGAATGCTGCAGAGTCACTGAGGAAGCCATGGCTGACGATGACTCCTGCGCCGCCGATGAACTCTCCATGAAGTTGTGGGAATACTCCTATCAGATGCTCATCCAACAGAAGCACTGCGATGTCGTCATTGTGACGCAGAAGGGAACCATCAAGGTAGACCACATGCGTGAACCTCTAAGTCAGAAAAATGAACAGACATTCAACTAAACAAATAAACGATCAAAAATACAAAATGTAAAACATACAAACATACAAACTAGAAGCAAAGACACACACGCAAAGACACACACCCACACCCACCATCGTACGACAACAGGCACATCGTTGCATTCTCGCATTCCACAGCCAGTACCTCTGCAAGGTCTTCTACCAGCTTGGAGCCGATAAGAAGGTCGTCATCAGATTGGATTGCATTCCTATAGACACTGTCAGACAGATGCTCTGCTTCTTTTATTCTGGGGAGATTAAGGTGGAGATTGTGGTTATTATGGCGATGTTGATGATGGTGGTAACGATGACAATTACAATGCCATTATAACAAAGACGTATTGGCATCTTTATTAAAATCGCCACAAGTAAAACGACGATAATGATAAGAACAATGAAAGATTTCACATCGTAATCACTCTTCCACTTTTAGGTGAACAAATTCAACTTGGTGGACCTTCTGAACGTTTCTGAGCAGTATTGCTTCCCGAACCTTCAACAGGCCTGTTTGGACTTTTTCAAGTCTGCGCATTATTTTTAATTTTAAAAAAAATGGATTAAAACTTAATGGAAAACTTCAAATATACCAACTTATTTTGGCTCAAAAAGCTCAACATAAATTTGACGGCAAAATTAAACCACTTTTACGATTTTATTATATCGAACATTTCAATACAATTCGTTCAAATCAGCTTGAATTATTCAACTAAAACAATAGCAAAACAATTGTTTAACATAAGTTAATAAAATCTGAACTAATTAAACTAACCCGACCCAATAACTGGCCAATCAGAGACGTGACCCCGGAGAATGCCATCTTTCTACTTTCGCTGACGAACTCGATGGGATTGGAGACGATGCAACAGAACATCATGTGCTTCATCGTTCAGTCGTTCAATCAGGTCAGTCAGACTCCTGACTTTGTGTACCTTCCGTTTCCTCTTTTGAGATGCGTCCTGATGGATGATGATCTGCAGGTCTGCAATGAGCTGGAAGTCTTCTATGCTGTCGTTAGGTGGGTTGGTCTAGCTAGATGTTGATGTTGTTATTGTTGCTGTTTTGTTGATGTCCTCAAAGAAAGAAAGAAAGAAAGAAAAAAAAAAAAGAAGAATAAATAAAATCCCTTCATCTTAGATGGGTAGAGCACAAAAAGGAATGCCGTGTAGAGCATGTAGCAGATCTGTTGAACGGTCCAGTTAGGTTGGAGTTGATGTCAGTGGAGGAACTGAATGATGAGGTGGAGAGCCAGGATTGGATGTTTTGCAACCAGGAAGCTAAGGATGTACTCAGCGAGGCCTACAGGTTTGTATGCGTATGTGCACAAAATTATGTGTACATTTAATTTATATTTATTGATGTGTGCATGATTAATTGCCATGTGTGTATCGTGGGTTAAATGTGCATCAGCGTAGTTTTGTACATCGCGCTTCATACAAACATCCCTTTTCAAACTACCACAACATAAATTGTTAACAATTTACACTTTTTGATTGACTATCTACAACTAACAAAACGGTACATCACAACAACGAGACAACGTATCAACACCACAAACACAAATCCAACTAACTAACCGACAACGAGAAACACAATGAATAAAAAACGACGATAACGACCGCAGAAAAAAGTTGTTGATGACATCAGGCCTATGTCCCGCGGCGGCCCTGAGACCAAGGAACTACTCCAACTACTACGCCACCAACAGCCAATTCTGTTGCTAATATGCATCAGCGTTTTATTATTGATTTAAAACGATACGATTCAACACAATTCCTAAAATTAACTTTGTAATTATATATATACAGAAATATACTACACGTGTGTGTGTGTGACTCATGTGAATAAATTTATTTTAATAGTCTTCTTTATTCGATTTTGTCACAAGACTATTTCCACCGTAAACACAACGATTTAGCTAAAATTTGTTACTAGGTCCATTAACCGTAATAATAAATTTTACTTACGACATAATATCAGTACAGACATTTACCGAATCTAGTTTTTTATTATAACTAAATAACAATTATAACGATAATAATAACAACTAAGAATAATAACCACCATCAACAATAAATAATGACACAATAGAATTAATTGATAATCTTCAGTGAAGTTGAGTTAACGAGAAACGCAAGTCACGTACGACCTGTCAATACAAATTTAAAAGAGGATTTGGCCTATCAGCTTCTTACATTTATTGAACTATATGGATGAAATCGAAGATAAAAAAAACATTTATAGTGATTCGAAGTAGTTTAATAATTATAATATAAGATCCTTTCAGTGAACTCAAATAAATAGACCAAACTTAATAATTGAATGATTAAATAAATAAAAGAGCAAACAAACAAATAAATACATACATACATATGTACTAATAAACATATATTTAACGAAAAACAAACTAATAAATAATTAAGCAAAACAAAAAAAACCGAAAAATCATCTATCTAAACATGGAGAAACTGAATACAAGCAGAGGGTATTAGATGCTTATTTCCTTAATCCGAGTCCAACTTTTTTCCACCAGTTTATTAAGAGTTGTCTTGTAATGATACGGTTGAAGAAAAATTTGGTAGTTGTTGGTAAAAACCAATGGGAATCTTTCTTCCTGGACAGATCACCAATTTAACCCTTAAGCCTCTCAAAGATTGCCGAAAAATCAACTTTCAAATGTTTGCATTGGCAGTTGTTATTGCTACAAATAACTGAGAGACATTAATGACATCAATAACGACCTAAGTATAACAAATAGCAACAATGACATTAATAATGATAACAAAAATGAATGCATTTGGAAAATCGAATAATATGTAGAAGTTGCTGCTTAGCTAAGCAAAAGTAAGTTGAAATGAATGAAAAGCACGATAATCATTCATGGTACCTACCGCAAAGAAAATTATACGAAATGATTAAGATAAAACGTTAAACCAATCAGCGATCTCAACGCTTGAAATATAAATGAGACAACACCGACATCTGATATATGTTGATGTAATTAAGAATTAATGACCAAAATGATATTTAATTACAATATTAAAAGTTAACGACGACGCATATTTACAATTTAACAAATCCACTTCGAGGAGGCGGTCCCGTGATTTGATTGGCCGGTCTGACGGGCATGGGCGATCCCTGCAAACCAAAACCACCAATAAGAGCAGATGGATAGGCAGGCGGTCTCAATGGTTCGCCAATAGGATTAGTGAGTGCATAATTGGCTTGTTGATTAAAATAACTATCTTGTTCATGATTGGATGGCGGCATCTGACCAGTAGGAGAAGCATAAGAAGAAGGCATGTTGTACGGTTGAATGATAGTTGAAGGAGCCAACGGAGCGTTAGTGGGAGGAGCCGGATAACGAGGAATAAATGCCGGTTGAACAAAACCAGTTTTCGGAGGAGGAACCACAGCGAATCCGGGCTGTGATGGAAGGATGGGCATTCCAGGTTTGTGCGGCACCAGTCCCATTTCCAGGTAGATCTCCTTCAACATCAGCAGAGCTGTGTCCTCAGATTGCCTGCGATATTACACAATTTCCATATTTAAAAAAAAATTTTAACGATGTAGTGCTTTAGAGATAAAAACAGAAAATAAGTGATTGACAAGAACTGACCAATAGCATGACGAACTAGCGAGAGCAAAGAGGTAATCATTAAATATCTCGATGGGCTTCTCCTGAAGTACAAAATCAATTCGACGACCCTGGTTCAATGCTCCTATGGGCAAGTCCATTTCATCTGCTACACTGGACGTTACAACTGTGTCATATCAAATTGAAAATATATCTAAAACCTTTACATTTAATTATAATTATTAAATATACTATGAGTCTCACGCAACACTAACCTGAGCCAGCATCATCGGCCTGTTGCTGAATCTCAGTCAGAACATTTCTAACTTCACTGTCGACGTCCTCATCATTGATTTTTAATTCTGCTGGCGATGAGATGGCCGGCGTCGAAACACCAGCGCCACCTCTGTACGTGGCTGCCAAGTTGTTGATCGTTCGCCAGGTCGATCGAAATGATTCTACGATTCTTTGCTTTATGTCAAAACCAATGCGGGCTAGACTCTCTTTCAATTCTGATGGAAAAAAAGAACTAAATAATAATTTACAACTTAACAAGTTACCATAAAAAATTTATTTTATATTTCAATTATTTGACATCATTTTCTAGAAACTCATTTCATTTGAATTCAAAATCAAATATTATACACTAAGTAACAATATTGCTACAATTCAATGTCCCAACCTAGGTGTAGCCTCTTCCTGCCCTTGTGGTGGGGGATAAGGACGGCCTTGCTGGGTACCTGCGGTAGAACCAATGGCTCCATGCGGTAGGCAAGCGGGTCGTACTGCGGATTCAGTCAGCATCAGAAAAGTTACCATAAAAATTTGAAATAAAGTATGATGATACCGGAAAATGGTTATGATTCTAGTAATGAATATTTTGACAACATAATAAAAATCTGACCGGATGGAAGATGTTGTAGTACCCTGGACATGTGGGCAGTTTGTATTCATCACCCAGACTGTGCACTCCCCTCAGGGCCAGCAAGAGGGCCACAGGAGAGCCAAAGGCAAAGAAATTTGAAAGTTTGAAATTTAATAGTGGGTAGTTGAGTTGCTGGATGTCTATTCCTTTGTAGTTTTGGTCGTTTAGTTTGTCAGTTGTAAATTGAAATTGCGTTGATGTCGCAGTTGTTGTTGTTGTTGATTGTGTGAATAGATCTAGTTGTTGCATTTGTTGTTGTTGTCGTCGATTTTCTTTTACTTCAGATTTTTCCAGAAACTAACAAAAAAAAAATTGAAAATAAAAAATGATAAGAGCTTTGTTAGCAAATGAATGCATTACCAGACGTTATATAAACCTAACAACTGAACGTCACAACATGTGACTACAAATCATTCAAACTTTGTTTAAGATCCCCTAAAAAAAAATAATTACCAAAAGGTTTAATTTACCTCACAAGTTATAAACGCTTAAACATTGGTAAATAAACAAAGAAAATAAAAACAATTGCCAGATAAACCTACGTTCACCGTAGTCAACAAATGAAAAATATTCCCACCTCTTTATCCTTCTGCTCCTTTATGAATTCCTGAATTTTCTTCCTGGGACCTAGGGGAAGACCAATCTCCTTAATATCTGAATCAGTAAGAAGGAGCTGTTGGATTGAATTGAATTAAATTAACTTCAAATAAATCAAATTAAAATTTGATGTAATTCTGATGTTTGAACAAAATGAACAAAAAATGTCACAGAGTATGAATGAAATGAAACAAAATGAAGCAAATACAACAACTAAATATCTTTTAAAAATATAATACAAATTCACATAAACATGTATGTACATATACAAATTCATATACTTATACAAATACATAGGGTTGAACATGATGCCAAACCAGAAAAAAATGCGCTTATTACAAATAAAATGAACATAGAAATGTAAATAATCTGGATACATACATGTATACAAACAAATCATACAAACACAGATTAGAGAGAGTATACAAAACAATATACAAAATTGTATACAAAAATTTATACAAACGAATACAAACGAGAGATGAGACATCAATCTTTTCTCTCATGAAAACATCTTCATAATCCTTCAAATTTAATTTGCCCATCACTTCTTCCAAGGTCATAAAACTTGGTGGTTTAACCTTGATGAATAAATTAATAAATTAAGATAACGATTTTTAAGATAAAAATAAAACCAAAATAAAAATAATTATAAATAATAATTTACTCATAGAGCCCTAACCTTTCCATCTATATTATTGACAACAGGATTTGCATTATGCTGATTGGTTGAAACTAGGTGAGAAACTATTGGCTGGTTATTTACAGCACTATCAATGTTTCCTTCACCCTGATTGGACAACAGATCATACACAATAAGACTGCCTGAGAGATAATATAAAAGTTATTTTTGTCTAATATTTGAAATAAGAAGTAAAATGGAAAACTAAAAGGTTTCAAACTTAACACCTAAACATGGAAAAAGTGTTAAAAATGGACAGAATTCTAAACAATCCCATAAACAAATGAATAGATAAAAACAAATAAGCATCATGAATTCGAAATTTAAGACAACTAAACTAACCGATTCCATGCCCAATTATAGACACACCACCCTTGAACTGAGGGTGACGTGATTTAAAGAGGTCGAAGGTCAAGTTCAATTTGTCAGTCAACTCGGTGGCAGTTTTCTGTTGGAAGGTTGAAAGTGTAAACAGTAAAATAATAAAAAGTTTATGAATGAAGAGAAGTAGTACTTGAGCATGTGATGGACTAGTAAAGAAGAGGATGTCGAGTAGCGTTTCATTTGTGAATGTTCTCAGCTTATTGATTCTCGGCAGTGTTATGCTTCTTAATTTGCTGTTGTTAATGTGGAAAAATAAAAATAAATTTTGCTCTATAAGTGTTTCAAAAAAACAAAATTATCCAACTTGTCGACGTTAGTGACGTCATTACGATACTGATCATGTGACCAGGTGATAGGGATGAATTCTACTCGACCGACGACTCCTTCATTTATAGGCTTTTCAAAGTGGCCAGTAAGCATCTGGTCAGCAATTTGTCGAAAATCATCAGCTGTAAAGGGGATAAATAAATGATGGAAAGAACGAGTAAACAAATGAATGAATGAATGATGAAATGAACGAATTATGGCTAAATGAGTGATTGAATTAACGAATGATTGAATGAAAAAGTTGAAAAATTTAAATTGAAAAACTTTAAGCTTACCATATTCAGTAACCTTCCTGTTATTGACACCAAACATAGGTTTGAAACCTTGGACAATGAATACTAAATGATCAACATTTGCTCTTTCATCTTCAATGAGGAAATATAAAACATTGAGCTAATTTCAAATCACATGATGAAAGCACTGTATATGTATATATAATAAATAATTTGAATTTTTAAAGTACCTTTAGGTATATTATCAAACTCTGAGATACCCCTTCTTACTACTCTAGGTCTAACATCATTCTGTTTTGAAATATTTTTCTATGAATTTATTTAAAAATTAGAATAATCAAGATTAAAATCAAAACTAGAACTTAAAAATTGAAACCTTTCAAAAAACTAAAAAAAAAACAACCATAAAAACTGAAATTAATTAATTTTACTAATCACAACTAAATGAACTGATTCCTCAAAAAAAGACAAAAAACCCCAACAAAACGACTAACAACCACGTTCCCCCAGGCATCAGGCTGTGATGACGATGGATAGTGGACAATGGTGGTTGGCGTGTGGATGATGATCGTTTCGCCGTTAGGGTATGCAAGTCTTTTGTGGAAGTCACACGTTAGAATTGTTTGTCTGTAGCTCTCCTGGTTTAGAGTTTTTAAAAAGATCTTAAAACTCACTTTTGAAAAAAAGGTCATAATGAATTCATATATATTTCACTGCAGCTGACAAATGGAAATTATATTAAGAAAAGTAACCAAAATTTTGGCATCATAAAAAATTGTTAAATTTAAGGAAATCAATAACACAACAAACAGCTATAACAACCTCAATGCCAGCTGAGAACATTTCATCATAAGGAACAAACTCATTTTCGCTGGCCGACCTATAAAACCACAAACACCTCATAACTTTGCCCATTTCTTCTTCCGTCCAGAACACAGGTAGCATCATTTTCATTGACATGTCAACATCATATCGGCCGCCCTTTACTGGCACCATCTGGTTGTCTGACAAGCCTTTAATAGATTACATTAATTAGGCTGAAAAAAGAGAATTAATATTTTTTTTCTACCAACAACTTGAAGGTTAATTAATTCTAAGTATCCTAATCACAAAATTGAAAACTTAATTAAAAAGGCTATATATATATAATAAACAGATGATAACTACAATGATTAAAACTGTAAAAAAATGGAAAATCCCACAAACCACTTTCAAAAGCTTCTTCAAGTCTTTTGGAATCAGCAAAAGAAAATGGCATCCAAATAATTTTATCTTCAATCTTTTTACTGAAGAACCAGTGGTATTCAGGAGGAACATAACTTACTCCTGGGTTAATACTTACTCCCTGATCAATTTGGTTGAATCCACCTAGTGCAACTTGATTAGGAGCTGGATATGCAGATGGTAATTGTTGTTGTGGAGGTGCATAAAATGTTTGGTTGGTTGGGGTAGGTCGGTTTTGAGGAAGATTATTATAAATTGATGGTGGTGGCTGTTGTTGAGCAGTTGACGGTAAACACTCTGGCGGAACAACGTATTGAAATTTTCCTGTGTGCCGATACTGAGAAGATGAGGATGATGAAGATGATGAGGATGATGGTGGAAGGGGTAGGTGGGCATTGCCTGCAGTACAGTAGTAGTGTACAATTAAAATAACTGCTTATGATCATTAGAAAATAAAATATATTTAACTAACAAACTTATAAAATGCATATTTATAACCATATTATAAATTGCTCTGTTCATAATTAATAATTGATTTAAAAATTAATTATTTATTAAAAATTTGTTATAAAAGTAAAAATTATTTTACTAAAAAACAAAATGGCACTACCAACCAAATTGAGCATTGTAATTTGTAGGTGGTGCTGATGAAAAATTTGAATTATACCCCAATGAAGTAGATGATATGAATTCAGTTTGCTGATTGTTGAACCCGACATCAAATTTGTTGTTGATCTGGTTGACTGCACCGATGGAACGAGTGATATAGTTAGTTACCTGACTAGTAAATGAAGTGGGGCCCTGTTGCTGGGAATTTTGCAATGGTAGCTGTGATGAACTAACTGATATCTGTCCCACAAAACTATCAACATCCCCTTCGTCTGCCAACAGCAAGTCAGAATTAGTTGGAGACGGAGGCGACCGAACGGGGATCAATGTCGGAATGTTGTTGTTCCCCAGGTTTGTGTTCATGTTGGACAGCAAGCTAAAATTCATTTCTTCTGGAGACACCATCAACAAAGCAGACGGTTGAGCAGATGGACCAAATTCCGTTTTCCGTTGAGCCATTTTAAAAAAGTTTACTATTCGTATGTCATGTGAGTATGTAAACAACTTTATTTTAGTCAGAAGTTAGGAGAGGCAAAATAAAAAATTTAATATTTTGTTATGGAAGTTAACTTTTCAATTAAACACGTCAATAAGGAAGTGGCAATTAATTGGTTTTTTTTTGTCTACTGATACTTCATTGTCTTTGCATTTTTAGTTTTATATAATCTTCAAAAGCGTGTAACAATTTTAGCATATAATTTATATGTGCATTTAACAATGTTATTCACTGTAGAATACATGTTTTGGTCGATTGATTGAATCATATTTAATTCATTTTTTCCAAAACAATACTTTACCATAGAGACCGTAGTTATAACATTTTGAAACAAAGTTTAATTTTATTTGCATTGCTTGTTTCCAATGAGTTTTATACTTATCGCTCTTCAACCGCTGCAGTTTTTTCCTCATCGTCTAATATTAAAACGATTCATTAACTAATATAATAAAAAATTATTTTCAAAATTTTTAATAAAATATTTCAACAATTTAAATTTAAAAACATGAAATCATGGCGATCCATTGCTATTAAAATTAACAACACAAGTGTATTAAACTGCGTCAGTGTGCTGTGCGAGTTCTTTAAAAATTCCAACATAGGAGAGCCCCTGGAGTCTGCTAGATACATTGTGGCCCATGCTCTCAATAAGAAAACTGTAAGATCTGATGTTTTTAATGTGTTTTTCATTATCTGCATCTACACACGTTTGGCCTTTAATACTACATTGGTTGTATTCTTGATGTCATTTAAATAAAAATTTAGATAAAAATAACTTATTAACATTGCAATCTGTTAATTAAAGTTAAAAGTTGATGTTAAAATGTTATTAATATTAATTTGCAATTAGTAATTAATTTACCAACTGGAAAGACAGAGATAAAAAAGAGGGGCTGGAAGAGTTATGACATGTGAAACTAACTAAACTGAATAGCATCTAATCATGATCATGATAGGATAAGAAAAAGCTAGACTAGTTTTTTTTACTAGCTTATACTAAATGTTTTGTTTTTGTAGTACTAAGCTACAAATTTGGATTTTTAATGTTTAATATTTAAAAACAAAAAAGTTTTAACATCTCCTCAGCAGATTAACAGCTGTCCATCGACTGAGAAATTATCCAGGCCACAGTTGGAACATGTATCAAAGATGGTTGATCTCAGATTGAAGCAAATGCCCATACAGTATATTGTTGGGGGATGGGATTTTTTAGGCGTTGAACTGGATTTGAAACCACCTGTCTTTATTCCTAGACCAGAAACTGAAGTACTTGTTAATGACATTTTATGTAATCTATAGTGTGCTTTTAATTTCTTACCAAAAAATATATATAGTTTTTTCTAAATTTTTTTTGACAGATGCTTATCGAGTTAATTTCTAATAGAGGAATCACTGAAAATTCAAAAAAGTTCTTTGAAGTTGGATGCGGTAGTGGAGCAATATCGTTAGCTTTGCTCAAAAAATTTAAAAATGTTAGTCTCTTGTTTTGTCATTATCGTTGTTTTATTTCTTTTGCAAGTTTAACCTTGAATAACAGAATAATTTTTCTAATGACAGCTTACTTGTACAGCTGTTGATATCAGTCACGAGGCCTGCTCACTGACCAGATTAAATTCACTTAAATTAGGTCTTGAAAGTCGAATAAATGTAATAAATAGATCATTTTCTGGTTAGATTTCATAACAATTCAATGAAACACTCAATTTGAAAATATAATTCATGCATTGAAATGTTTCTAGATTACATTAGAAACCCATCTGCAAATGAAAAATTTGATTTTCTGGTAAGCAATCCTCCTTACATCCCTACCAGCCAGTTATCCAACCTTCAAGATGAAATCAAAAAGTAGTACATTATTTTAAAAATTCATTTCATTTTAATTTTTAATCCTTAAAAATGAACTTTCATATAAATTATTTTTAAAAAGTTATGAAGATGTAAGGGCATTGGATGGGGGCGAAAAAGGGTTCGATGTGATTGAACAGATTCTATCATTGGCTCCCAATATTATTAAAAATGATAGGTCTGTTTTGTTTGGCACCGTAAATAATAATGTTAATATATTTATACTACTACTGCCACTACTACTACTTCCACAACTACTGATGCTACAGCTACTTCTACTACTTCTAAAATTAAGTAGAAAATAATTTTTTTAATTTTGAGAATCTCTGTAGTATTTTATTTTTCATTATTGTAGTTCAGTTTGGCTGGAAGTTGATGAAAGTCATTTTGACATCATAAATGATTACACTACTGATAAGAATAACTTGAAGCTGATTGCGTTTGAGAAGGATTTCTTACAAAAGTATTTCACGTTTTTGGTGGTTACTGGATATATCTAACCGGAATTTTGATAGTTTTTGTTAAAAGTTGTATAAGTTATTAAGGGTTAAATCAATTTTTATTCATTTCAAATAGGTTTTCAACTGATCTTTCACATGTAACATTATTCAATTAAGAACCATTATATCTGATATTAAACAAATAATTACATTCATTTATTCTGTCAAGATGGTGCAATTATTCATAATGTTCTAGAAATTCACAATTCTAAAAAATTAAAAATGATGACGATTTATTTATTTATAAGATGTTTAAATATTTCTCAGGTACAGGTTTTGCCAAATCAAATCTATGCACAGCTGTTAAAGGTTAAAAAATTTTTTCAAAACTCTTGATGTTAAACCATATAATTTAAACAATGGCAGCTGATAAATTATCAAATAAAATTACATTTACAGATGTAGATAGGCTATTTTGAGGTCGTGAGTGCAAACAAAAGTTATTTTTACAAGTGCATCCATTAAGATTTCGAATGTTTCGTTTCTTTCAGTAAGCAGGAGAGACCAGCTCCCAGCCAGAAAACTGCAGATATGACGAGGAACGGCAAGAAGCAGTAGACTCCCAGCATGTACCCGAAGACTATGTTGGATATTGCTGATGATATTCGACCTGTTCCACCACAAAATCCGAACGCTGTTGATCTGGTGTGCGATTTGATTCAATTGTAATGTCCAATAAACGTTTCAAAACCTTCAAATAGTGATTGCATCGATTTAATTTATTTATTTCCTATACCGTATTTTTATTAGTGCGAATTTAAAAAAAAATGAAACAGTTGATAAATATTGCCCACCTCAAATTTGTCGGGAAACTTTCGGCGACTGTGACGTCGACGACGCTCCACATGGCCGATGTGACTGCGGCATAGAAGCAGGAAGCAATGAAGATCTGAGTGCTACTGCTCGTGAACCATATTAAGAAAGCGCACAGGCCACTTATTATCATGGAGATGCCTGTCGTGTGTATCGTATGTGTATCGTACGTATCATCAGTTGAGATTTCAATTACAAAAACGGTGTAATGAAAACTTACAGAGCAAAGGTTTTCTGTTGATGTAGTCTATGAAGAGTAATATTATAGAGTAGCCAAACAGTTTTGAGAAGACCACAAAAAATCCTTCGTAATAAATTAGAGTTGGCACTTCGCATATTTTGACAGGGTTTGTTTGGTTCGTTAAATGTTTCCATTCTTGCATTTGATCATGACTTTGACAAATGGATCCATTATTGGCGGCAGATCTTTTGAACAGTTCAGGAAACCACATGAACATTCCATAATACCTGTAAATTTATTTAAAAATTTTACAGTTTCATTTATCAATCCATAATAATAATAATACATAATACCTGTAAATTTATTTAAAAATTTTACAGTTTCATTTATCAATCATTCAATAAATAACACGGCGCATTACGCTGATTTATTGTTGTCAGACTAATTTTTTGTAAATAGTTTGATTAGTATCTATTTTGACCAAGTGAAAGAACAAACCCAAACGATCCAACATTGAAGAGGATTGTAGCCACTATGGACGTTTTAACAATTTCTTTCGAAAATAATCTTTTCCAAACTTCTACGAACTGATGTGTACAAATTTATAGCAATATTAATCTTCATTAATCGAGTTTTAAAAATTGGATAAATTTACTTTGGTGACTGTTGTTAAAAGTTGCTGAACTTTCGAAGTTGTGGCGTTGTTGCTCGTGTTTCCCTCGCTAATTGCTTTCAATTCTCTCTTAAGAAAAAAAATGTTCTGTTTTTTTGGCGTTAAAAACCTCTTTAAAAAATTACCTCAAACTCGCTGATGTCTTTGTTAGGGTTGTTTTGTTTAAATATTCTCAACATCGTCTGTTTCATTTCTTCCATTCTTGAATGCTTAAGATGGTTGCAGATTTTAGTTTGAATAATTCAAAAAAATTACTGTGACCAACTAACTTCCAGAAGAAATTTGGGACTTTCTGGCATAAACATCATGAAACACATGGAAACTAATGTTGGTAGGGAGCATAAAGAAAGGTAAACGTTCCAGCTTTTTAGAACATAATTAATATGAATCTGTATACTCAAATTCACTGGTAGGAGGGCCCAGGCAACGCCTATTTAAATGACATTAAATCGATTTTGTTAATCTTATAGCTATTGAATTTTAAATTATAAAAATTTTCAAACCGGCTGCAATCATTCCACCGTATGCCCAGAAGGATACCATGAATGTTAACAACTTACCGCGGTGCTCGTTCGTCTGAAACTCGCTGTTGTATGTGTAAATGACTGGCACGTTGCCTCCAACTCTGAAAATTGTTTATTCGTTTTTGTTTCTTATTTGGAATCACATTTTTGAAGTGGGAATTAAATTTCTTACCCGAAGCCGCTCAAAAGTCGGAATATAACGAACGAATAGAAATTATTGGATAGACCCGAGGCTAAGTTGAAAAACCCGTTGAACGCTAATGAGAAAATTAAAATTGTTTTTCTACCAGTAACGTCTGCTAGACAACCCCAGAAAATTGCGCCAACAGTCATACCTGTGTGCAAAAATTTTTAGAGAATTTTCTAACCCTTGTCCAGAGAATTTTCAGTTATAAAAATTTCAAATGCATATAAACTTAAGTTATGCTCTTTTTTATATTTAAAGTAGATACTAGAAATATATCCATACAAATTTCAAATAAAATAACCAATGAAGATGGAAGCATTTATCCATCCTTTTTTCTGGTCATCGAGGTCCATATCACAAGTGGCCGGTGGAATAATGTAGGACACGCTCAGGATCTCGATGGCGTCGCTTGCTACCACCACGCCACACAGGAATATCAATTTGTAACTGAACCATCCGTAACCTTTGTTTTGTGTGTTTTATTTTATCGTTTCGCTACAACTGAATTCATTGACGACTTATTTAGTAATTATGGCATTGCCTTTAAGTTTGGTTAAGAGTTTTTACGTCGCTGGGTAAATTATGTAAACTTGTTTACAAATTTTAAGGAATATTTTATTTTATTATTATTTGGTGGTTGATAAATTAGGGTTTAAAATTTTTGGTTTACTTGCCGGCTAAAGAAACAAGTCTTTCCAGGTTGGTCTTGTTATCAGGAATACTTTCGTCTGAAAATAGTAAATTTGAAGCTTAAATTCTAAAATTTAATATACCATATCAAAAACTAACATTCATTTGACATGGCAGACTTGTTCAGTTACTTCAATTTTAGTTATTTCAAATTTGTCTACATTTATTAAGTTGAAACTGATACATCAGTTGAAAAAAATTTAAGATACACAATTTTAATCTGTGTTGTTTTGATTGTTAAAACGTCTACAGATGGTTGATGGTGTATTGTTTGATGAAACATCTGGTAGGTAGACACATAACTAGTGAAATGAATCGATACCTAGGTACTGCTCGCTGGCATATAAAACAACCTATATAATCTTTTGATATAAATTTGTAATGTACCCTGTTGTTGCATAATTTGATCAATCCTGATTCTGAATTATTTTAAATATTTCCCATTTAAAAACTACGTTTCATTATTTAAACGAATAGTAATTTATTCAAGGAGTTCGTTTGATGTTATATTATAATTATATCTTATCCTATCTATCAAATCATATACCCTATCATATCAAATATCTTGTTATATCATATATCATATCATGTTTGTCCTCGATGCAGTTTTCTACAAATGAAAATATACCGTTGATAAGTTGATGTTTTGTCGAAGTACTAAAAAACTTTGAATAAATTTGTTTGTTGATGTTTATAAAAGAAGGGTTTGTGAAAAATATAAATTTAATAAACATAGAAACAAAAGATCACAATTTTTTTTATCGAGAGTTTTCATATTTTTATTTTTTTTAAGGTTAATTTGTTTAACTTTTCCCTTAAACTATATAAGGTCGGCCTGCTAAGCTTATATTGCCGAAATATTATAATTTTAAAATTCTCGACCATTTGAACATTTATGTTTAAATCTATATACATATTTATTTTTATATCTATTCACTTATGTTTGTACATTTTCTATCATAGGGTCTTTAATTTTATTTCATCTTTTCTGATTTTGAATACTTTGTTTACGTTTTTGGATTCGTGAAATAAAAAGATGACTAGATATTGAACATTAAGATGTTTTTCAAACAACCGGTTAATTAACCATGTTAAAAATACAGCACAGAAAATTACACCTGATATAAATGATATAATTTTTAGAAAAAAAAAAGTTAAAATCAATAGAAAATAAAAAAATTGCATATGTAAAATATTTTAGACTTTGCAAGCATGTTCACTTTAGATTTAACGCGATAATTATTAAAAACTAAGTTAATGTCTATCAAGAAAGCATTAGTTATCTATTTAAATAATATTTTAAATAATTAAAAATAAATTATGACCGATTCAAGACATGAAACTCCGTACTTAATTTTATTTGACACGACTTCAGTTAATCTCAACTTTGTTGGTCTCCTTGAAAAAGAAAGCCAGGATGAAGCCTACAAAGTAGAAGAAGCTGATGAGTGCGAACGGAAGGATGCAGTAGACGTTCAATAAGTACCCAAACACTAAGTTTGAAAGCACCGCGACCAGTCGACTTATGCCTAAACACAACCCAAAAGCGGATGATCTTTAAAAATAATTTGTTTAGAAAATATTTTTTAAAAACTTATTTAATTTAAAAAAATCATGCAATGTAACTAGTAACGTATTGAGTCGAATGAACTTTTTCATAACAATTCTTTCGTCAATATTTTTCAAGGGCATGTAAACACACGTGAATCATTGCACCACATACACACAGACTGCATGTGGCAAGCGGGGATCTTTCTGCATTCGAATCTGGTCACTGCAACTTCAGTGCCAGGCACCTTAACCATTACACAATCACGTCGTCATCTAAACCTTAGTTTTGTTGGAAAAGATTCAGCGATGACCACATTGATGACACTCCACTGGGCCGCCGATAGTGCTCCAAAAAGGTAAGACATTATGTACATTTGTAGAGAACTTGTTGAATACCAAAATAGAAATACGCAAATTGATGAGAGTAGAAAATTTATACCTAGAAAATGTGAAAAATTTTTAAACAAGTTTGAAGACAGTTGCTTAGATTTAAATAATATAAACGAAAAACCAAACTTAAAATCGGTTTCCTTCCTACCACATCGATGCAAAAAATGATTATATAGCCAAAAAACGTTGCAAAATTGATGAGAAATGCTTGTCTATAGACAGAAGATGCAACATAACATGAATTATCTTGGTCCGCTGACATTTGATCCCTACATATACTGTCATTGTTCATCTCGAAGCGTTTGAAAAGCTCTGGAAACCACATTATCATTCCGTAAGCACTGGCAATAAAAACATTATAAAGTTATTTAGGTATTCATTACAAAAAGGCGTTATATATCAAAAAGAAACTACGATTACCCATATGATTGAATATTAGTGACAGCTATCGCCATCAAAGTTGATACAATTAAATTTTTAGAGAATAGTTCTTTCCAGAAGGTTAGTATCTATAATTTTAAACAGATTAGTTTAAAGAATATTTTATGATTGTCTTCAAACATGGCTGTCGCTTACAATTGAAATGCTTTTAAACAAGCTGCATGTAGCCGAAACTGTTGAGATCTCAGTTGTTTTATGTAGGCTGTCAATTTTGGACAGTTCTTTCTATGTTGTGAATTATTATTCAAACAATGTAAACCTCACTACAAAAAAATTAGCTAATTTTCACTTTACTTCAAAATCTTCATAGTTAGCTGATGGATTATTTTCTTTGTATATGTCCTTCATAACCACTTTCAATTCATCTAGTTTGGAATACTTCAATTCATTAATTGTGTCAGTTTTTTGTGAAAGAAAATATTTTTTCCCTACTTCGAGTAAATATTTCGGACTTTCAGGCATATGAAAAATCGTGCAGACAGCTATTAACGATGGAATAGAACATAGAGAAAGATAGAGATTCCATGTTTTTAACACGTAATTCGCGCCAAAACTCCATTCAAAATTTATAGGCAAGATAATCCAGGCTAGAGCTAATTATTAAAATATTTCGAAACTAACATCACCAATCCAGTTTTACAAATTCAAATTAAGTTTCCCAGGCAATAAAAACTCAACAAACCGCCACTAATCGAACTGCCAACAGACCAAAATGCTGATACGGCAGTGTAGACCTTCCCTCTGTTCTCGAGTGGTTGAAATTCAGTAAGGTAGGCACCGATAACTGGAATATTTCCTCCAACTCTTTCAGGTTTATTCATAATTATGCATAAATATTTATTCAAAATAACTTTATAAATAATTATTACATTATAATTATAAATAATTAGTTAATGATAATTTAATTTATGTGAAAATTATACCCAAAGCCACTCAGAATTCTGAAAGCACAGAATGGGTAAAAATTAGTACTCAAAGCTGCGGCCAAGTTGAACAAAACGTTACAAATAAGTGATGTGATGAGCATATATTTTCTGCCATAAACGTCAGCCAAGTTACTAAAGACCAAAGAACCCAAGGACATGCCTGCGTTATGTCAGATTTTGTAAAAAGTAATTTAATGTCTATGATTTATATTTTTTTAATTCTTAATTACAAATTGAAAATGTTCCAATTGAAAATTTAACAATTTTACTTTCAAATGATATTCTTAATCTATTAACTTGACTACCTATAAAGATGGAGGCGTTTATCCAGCCCTTCATGCTGTCATTCAGGTCCAGGTCGCAAGTGGCAGCAGGAACAACGTTGGAGACGCCAAAAATTTCAATAGCGTCGCTGCTTGCCACCAAACCAGAGACAAGAATTAACTTGTAGCTAAACAGCCCATAGCCTGATGCGGTTAAAATTATTAAAATTCATAATAATTTTTTTAAATTAATAAATATTATAGATAAATTACTTTTAAATATTAAAAATCATAAAGAAATTTTCAAATTTTCAAATTAATTATTTGTTGTTACCTGTTAGAGATATGATTTTTTCCAATTCACTTCTTTTGTCAATTATACCCTCACCTAAAAATTTTCAAAATTACTCAAAGTAAATTTGTATAAAATGATAATAAAACAAACAAACAAACAAACAAACAAACAAACAAACAAACAAACAAACAAACAAACAAACAAACAAACAAACAAACAAACAAACAAACAAACAAACAAACAAACAAACAAACAGACAAACAGACAAACAGACAAACAGACAAACAGACAAACAGACAAACAGACAAACAGACAAACAGACAAACAGACAAACAGACAAACAGACAAACAGACAAACAGACAAACAGACAAACAGACAAACAGACAAACAGACAAACAGACAAACAGACAAACAGACAAACAGACAAACAGACAAACAGACAAACAGACAAACAGACAAACAGACAAACAGACAAACAGACAAACAGACAAACAGACAAACAGACAAACAGACAAACAGACAAACAGACAAACAGACAAACAAACAAACAAACAAACAAATAAACATATACCTTCTGAAGACATACTTTTAATATAATAATAATTCTCCCAATGTATCTGCTTTATAAAACTTCAAAAATATCATTCATTACTAACAACATATTCTTAATATTAAACCGAACACCAGATCTGTCAGATCAATAATTTCTATTGATGACGATGATGACGACGACGATGATGATGACAATAAGGATGATGATGATGACAATGATGGGGATGATGATGACAATGATGGGGATGATGATGACAATGATGGGGATGATGATGACAATGATGGGGATGATGATGACAATTTGATAACGATGACAATGTGATGATGGTGATGACAATATTATGTAGATAATTGTGATGACGATGATGATGGTGAAGTTGATGATGATGACAATGAAATTGACAATGATGATAATAAAGATAATGATGTGATGAGGAATGGTGATGTTGATGATAACATGATTCATAATAAAACTCGCTACCGTCGACAGCTTGCCGTGATGTTTTTAATTTGGTTAGCAACTTTATATTTCATAAACAAACAAACAAACAAACAAACAAACAAACAAACAAACAAACAAACAAACAAACGAACGAACGAACGAACGAACGAACGAACGAAAAAACAAACAAACAAACAGACAGACAAACAGACAGACAGATAGACAGACAAACAGACAGACAGACAGACAGACAGACAGACAAACAAACAAATTAACCCACAACATACATGTACTAAGTATAAATATAATTTTTGATGTTATAACATTCTGAGTTAATTCGTCGAAAATTTAAAATAATTTCAATTTTATAACTTAAAAAAATACATTTTTAAACGTAGAATTTTTTTCTAACTCATTCCCACTCCACACAACCGATTACACGCCAGAAAGCACTCCACCAGACACGACAAGACATGGATGTTTCTCGCCTATACATTATTCCGCCTCAAAACGAATAGAAAATAAAAAACAAAATGAAGAAAAACAAAGAAAAAATTAAATAAAGAAGAGTTAGAAAAAACAGCATAAAAGAGGAAGATTTATATGTTTGTGAACACCAGTATGGAAAGCCAACGCGCTCTTGAAGCAGGCGTATCATTTAAGAACCGACCAACACACAACCGGTCGATATGGCTTATTCTTGTTCTTCATCGTTTTGTTGTTTGCTGCTGTGGTTGTTGTTGTTGTTGTTGGCGATTTTGTTGTTGTTATGTGCACATCAATAATGTTGTTGTCGCCCAAATTGGAATCAATGTTGTTGTTTTTTTTTCATTCTGCGTTAAATGGTATTAATCTTACGTTGCTAGTAGCCTAATATTTTGGGATATTGTTGATGTTATTTTTCCATGTTTTAGTTGTTGTTTTTGCTGATAGAAAATGTTTTGAGGTTTTTGCTGCTCTATTTAAATTACGGCCATTATGAGTTTAAATAAATATTTGTTGTTTGCGCCTTGCCACCGTGCATTTCAAAGAGATTGATTTTGTTATTGTTAATATTTTTTAGCTGTGGTTTTGTTATTATTTCGTCTTGCATTATTTTTTGGCGTTCTTCCATTTTTTAAAAATTTGTTTTCTTAGGGCCTGCTGAACTTCTTATCACAAGTGATCTGATAAATGTTTCTTGTCCTTTTCACAATCGTGCCTCCGCATGTCAACTCCAAATGATCCTCTTACCCAACGTAGAATCGTTTTTCGTTTGTAGTCAAAAATTTTATTTTTATATGGTATCTATCTTCATTTTCGTTTTTCGATAATTAATAAGTTGAAATTTTAGCCGAAATGGATATGTCAGAGATCTGAAAACCTCCAGATATTCTAGCATAACGCTTTTGAGCGTTAATCGAATCTTTCATGAAATTGTTTTTTTTTTGTTTGAGACTTTGAAATTGTAAACTTAGGTTTCAAAATTTACTTTGTAATACTTTTTTCAACATTTTAAACTATCTGACTGTTTAATTGAATGTTAAATTTTTATCAGCCTCAAAAGAACCTAGACACAATGAAAAAACAACTCTACGGACTGTCTTACATTCAACAAATAATTCAAAAATTGTTGTTTAGTGAAGATACCAAAATACCAAAAAAAAATACCAAACTACATACAGAAATACGTGGTTATAAAGAAATTACAGTAAATGTGTGTGTGTATGTATGTGTGTGTGTGTGTGTGTGTGTGTGTGTGTGTGTGTGTGTGTGTGTGTGTGTGTGGTCTGTGCATCCGCGCCACTTGATTCTTGCATATTCTGTCCGCCCTATACACTCCTAATTCATTCATTGATTTGTTTGGCTGTGACGGTCTTTGATTTTAGATGGATGGATACAAATCATTTTTTAAAATATAATGTTCTTATATTTATGGAAATAAATTTGCTTTATTATAATAACGAGTTTTAATAGAATAATTATTAAATTGAATTTAAAACACGATTAAATGGTTATTTCAGCTTTGAATGAAGAATTGTTGTTAAAAATGTTTTTCATTTGATTGAAGGATTTATAGGATGATGAAATTAGTTAATTTAAATAGTCTGCTGTTGGTATAGTTTAGCCATCTTGCTGAGAATCAATTGTTTCTAGGGTTTCTTTTTATAGCATAATATGAAAAAATTAAACTAAAATTTGATGATTTTGAAATTTAAATAAATAACTTATATATATATATAATTTTTTTTTGATTATTGTAAATAAAATTGAATTAAATAAAAAAATAATTTATTGTATAAAATAAGTAACGGCAATTCTTTTAAATAAAATGAATTTGATCCCTAAAACTTTTTCCACTTCATTGAAAAACTTCGAGTGAGCGATAAATGAGTAGTGGTGAACTTGTTAACTCGTTGCGCTCCCTACACGGACAAACGGAAAATGTTCTACAGCACAGGCAACAGCTCCAACCGATATCCGAAAACCGGCAAGAGTAGCGACTACAAGAAGCGCAGTGACACAAATCGGAAGAGATCAGTTTCGAAATCTAGTGGACCAGCAGCCAGGAAGGAATCAATTTTAAAAAATACAACTGGGAACGTGAAGAGGAAAAGCAGCAATGAGCTCCATCATAACGTCAACGCGGCGACTTCAGGCGGGTTGGCTTCTTTGTTACCTTCTGCCGCTGGTCGCAAGCAGTCTTCCTTCACATCTCACAACGTTCCTTCGCCAAGTACAACTATTAACTATCCTCTACTGTCTCTCTTCAACACTTACGTCACACCGCTGCACAGGCTGTGCTCTGTCAACCTGGACAGCACGCACGAGAGCAGATTCCTCCAGCCGCAACCGTCCCTCCAAGAACAGCAACGCTACCAAAAGATCGAGTACACACCGTTACCTCATTCGCGCCAAACACCTTACGAAACCACCGACGTAACAAATTTTCCCAGCGTAAGCAACGAGTATGATCCGGAAAAAATTTTCGATCAATTGGAAAATAAAAATCAAGCAATACAATCGACCGATCAGAAAAATGAACAGTCGAAATTTTCAAACGCGGACCAGGGTGAGGCATCATGCCAGACACCAACAGCTACACAATGCCAACGTCTTTCATCTTCATCGTCGCTTCAACTACCACTTGCTGATTACGAACGGCACAAAAGATTACATCAAGAACAACAGCAACACGTCAGGTCTCGAGTAAATTCTGATCTTAATTCTGATGACGAATTTTTCACAAGACCGCGATCTAACTGGATGCTGGATTGGCAATCAAACAACACACCGGCTTTGACGGAATTTCTGGAACTCGCTCGGAAGGCCATAACAAACCACATCCGTTTACTCCAGATACATCTACCAACAAACGCCACATCGATGCTCGGCTTAATCACATCTCTCGATCAATCAACAGTTGAATCGAAGCGCTTGATCGTGAATGTCGGGGGCGAAAAACACGAGATACTCTGGAAAACATTGGCTCGGCTGCCGAACACGAGGTTAGGAAAAATTTTAAAATGTAGCAACCACGAAGAGGTGATGACCGTTTGCGACGACTACGACCTCAACACCATGGAGTTTTATTTTGATCGACAGCCAAAAACATTTTCATCCATTCTCAATTATTATCGCACCGGCAAGTTGCATCTACAAGAAGACGCCTGCATTTTATCATTCAGTGAAGACTTAGAATATTGGGGTTAGCTACTACTGCTGCTGTGTTGTTGTTCAAATGTTACAATTGAAATTATGTCACTGAAGCTTTCTAAAACATTCTTAAAAACAACACTTTGATGCCTATTACTCTGAAGTGGTTCGATTTTATATAATTTGCATCGGTACACATTACAGTTTGACCTGTTTTACTTTTAATGATCAGCAAGGTGACGGTTGGCTGATCCCACAATTTTATTTTTGAAAACAAACAAAATTAAAAAAAATAACTGTTTGAAAATAAACTCGATGAAAAAAAACAAAAATTTTAAAATTAGCAGAAACTTTTATTAACATTTTAAGAAAAAAATAAATTCATACAAAATCAACAAAATGCTCACCTTACAAACATAATTGGAACATTCCTCAACACAGGCATCGATGAGCTACACCTGGAGTCATGTTGCCAACATTCCTATCTGCAACGCAAGGAAATGATTTCAGACGAGTTGAGAAAAGAGACAGAGAGCTTCGCAGATTCGAACGAGGAGGAAGTTACACGGACTGGCTGCTACTACGAAACCCAGCGGAAAGTTTGGGATCTTCTAGAAAAACCACAAACATCATTGGCGGCAAGAGTTAGTCGAATGTTTAGTGTAGCATATTTTGCTGTTTTTTATGTATTTCGTCGGTGTTCTCCTGTGTATTGGGTATTTTTGAAGTGTTGTTTGTTGTATATTTCTTTGATAATTTGTGTGTTTTGTCCATTGATAATTTCTATTCGGCACTTTCTATAGAGGTTTTAATCTCGTTAAAGTATGAAATTTAAGTTAATTGTTTCAAATAAGCAGATTTTTCTTTGATGCTATTAATAATACTTTTGATTACCCGTTGTGGAAGGTCTCAACTTGTTAAAAGTATGCCTCGTTCTAACACCTTCAAAACTTTTTCTGGAAATGTTACTAATACTACTACTACTACTGCTGCTGCTGCTACTACTACTACTGCTGCTGCTGCTAATACAACAACTACTAATAATAATAACATAAAAACAAATTTAACGAATACATATTTGTGAACACCACATATAACATTAGTATGCAACATTAGTATTCGCACATGTGATGTTATTGGACATCATCATTATTTCGAAAGTTTGTTGTAATTTAAATGAATCATTATTTAATAGGAAAACGTGAACAGTAAAAAAACCGATCGAACTTGTATGCATATTATGTATACACACACATACATAATGTAAACTCACACATACACACACACACTCACACACACACTCACACACACACACACACGAGTAAACATATATATGTGTTTTTTTTTCTTGTTTTTCCTACTTCTCTATTATCACAGACACATGTCAATATGTTGTTGATTGCTTCCAATGTGCATACGCATTTTTTATAGCTGAAAATTTAATAAACAATTACATTACAAAGCAAAGCCGAAAACACATATTGCTCTGGCAAATTCATGTGGTTAAATAAATAAAAATTATTGTAAACAATCAGAGCGATTCTATCTATGTACCTTATAGTTTGTCATTTCATTTACGTATAACAAATAAAACATTGCGTGCATGTGTGTGTGCACTGTCTGTGTATGTGTGTTTGCGTGTGTGTGTCTGGGTTTGTGTGTGTGTATATATATACGTTTGTTTGCGAATGTGTGTTTATTTGTAATTGTACATAAGTGTACAGTATATACAGCTGTATGTACAGCTGCCACACAATGTACTCTATGTACAGATACACATAAAAAATGCTACACAATGGAGTATAAGGTATAGAGATACCAAACCAAACCATATCCACGTACAAACACGGTACATAAATACCATACCATGCCATGCCATGCCATACCATACCATGCCATACCATGCCATGCCACATACACACGCAGTGAAATAAGCGACAGCATTTTATTACTTATCGATTTTTTTAGAGAAAGTCCTCGATGAATGGCCGGCTATCTCTAGGAACAAGTAGGAACAAGTTGACAGAATGGAAGGCTTGTAAGTAACTTCAACCTTACACAAACTTGAAAATACAGCCGTATACATAAACAAAATACAGCCATCTACTTAAACAAAAAATACAAAAACATACATAGAGACAAACCATCCATGCAAACAAATATAACCACATACATTCATGTACGTTAAAAATACAGATAATAAACAGACAAAAAACGATTTGGACAACAAACAAAAACGCGGTGAGACACACACACGCGCATACACAAACACACACACACATATACAAACACACACATACACAGAAATACAGAGAAATACAAACCATCCCAGATGCGACACAGCCGCGCATAAACATCATCAAGTAAAGTAGACTACAAACATAAGCTGACAAGAAACATGCAACCAACATACACACGCAGACATAACAAATAAAAATATTCGTTCTTGACAATCAAAAAATACAAACATACAAACATAAAAATGTGTATATACAAACATACAAATGTACATACAAACATAAAAATGTGTATATACAAACATACAAATGTACATACAAACATACAAGTGTACATACAAACATAAAGATGTACATACAAACATATAAGCGTGTACAGTAGATACATACAAACATACAGATGTACGTACAAACATACAGGTAGATACAAACAAACACACAATGTATGTATTCGCTACTCATCTGGCGCACAACAAGCCAAGAGGATTCTGCCTCCGTGTAAAGCATGTTTGAGTGTACATTTACATACATTATGTACGCATTGATACCATTTATACCTCCCAATGTGTGTACGTGTATGCGTGTACAAAATGTGCGTACGTGTGTAGTGTATATGTTTTTCATACAAACTCATATACAATATGTGTGTACCTTTTATACCTTCTTATGTACAATAATGTGTATTTATATACAAATGAAACGAAGCATCATCTCTGTAAATTTATTTCTTTTAGTATACAAACATCATCTTTATAAATTTATTTCTTCCCTACTGACGACTCTACAAAAACCTCCACATGAAATATGCAAATGAATGCGTTTTCGCATCTACCACCACATAATTCATTCGAATGCTGTTTCTGTCTGTACGTGGCTGAACTCTGTGTGTGTGTGTGTGTGTGTGTGTGAGCGTGTGTGTGTGTTTATGTGTGTTTATGTGTGTGTGTGTGTGTGTTGTGTGTGCGTGCATGAATTAATAATTAAAAGTTAAAATTTAGGGTTGTTTTTGAAAGCAGTTTGCTCTTTGCGTGTTTGTGTTTTTCATGCTTGCCGTTGTAGTCAGTTTCTTTTGAAGGAAAGCTTTTGTCAAGTGGTTAACTGATGCTAAGAAGTAAAAAATTTAAAAAAATGGTTGAAAATAAATTTTAATTATACCTCAGAAAAACAATTTCTTATTATTTATAAAAAATTTATTACTTTTCTAAACGTCATGCATCGTAAAATAACGCATGAAAATTTAATTATTGATGATAAAGCTAATCTATAACAGCAAAATGAATGTAAAATAAATTTGCTTCAAATCTTTTTAGTGCAATATTATGACATGCCGCATGAATGTGTGTAGGTGTATTGATCTATATGTGTGTGTGCGCGTTTATGTGTGTTTGTGTGTGTGTGTGCACGTGTGTGTGTATTCATTTGAGTTAAATGTGTGAGGTTGCAATAAAAAGGCGTTGCTTTTATCTACCCGCCTACAAATTCAAGGAAACCACCACAACTTTCCATATTGGATAGAGTTATTGGGACTTCCGTCAATTTTTTTTATTAACAGTTAACTATTTTTATTTATATATTAATAAAAATGAATAAATTTGAGTAAAATTGAATAAATGAAATAATATTTTTTTCATTTTCCAACAGTTCATTCTTTCAACAATGACAATATTCTCCATGGGGATATATAATAACAAAGTCGACATGGTTTAGCGCTTCATAAAAAAAGAAAAGTTCTCACATATATAGTCTTGTTTCTTTGTTTATTAATACTTCTCTCCTATCAATGAACGAAAGATGTTTAGATATTTACTTAGGTCCTTGTGAGCTTGCTTGCTATTGGTTTGAATGTGTTTGCATTTGCTAGAGCTAAAGTTGATCATCTATCAACATCTCCATATAACGTATTTATCTTATCATCACCATATAACGTATTCATCATCATCTTCATAATGTAACTTATCATTTCGAATAATCGAATAATAAGCGATTATAATAATTTATAATTAGCGCTCACCTTATGGCACATTCATCATCACATATCACCAGAAATCCAAATATTTACACGCATCACCATCGTCATTTGCATAATCGCATCTTCACCATCACCCTCTCTTTATATCGAACAATTTTTTGCAACATCACGTTTCATTTTCTCTCAGAGCAAATACAGTTGCTTATTAATATTCATTTTCATCGCTGGCTCATTCGTTCAACTGCACCTGAAGTTCATCTGTCCTTTTAATGAATTCATCCCAAAGCACAGTCATCGTCATCACATTAGTATTAGTGTCAGGACGTTTTCCGGGTTACCGCATTACATCATATTGTTGTAATCGTCACATTACATTAACATATATAATCATTGTTACATCTACATCGTGTTATGACGTTACCGTGACGTCATCCACACGTCACTTCATCACGTTCGTCGCGCGCATCACCGCATGCATTACTTTTCATAGCAACGTCAAGGCAAAAATCATACGGACCGCGTTCGTGCTAATTTAGCGATAAAGGTGAGAATTTCAATGTTTGTTTAGCCATCTCGCTCTCTCTTTCTTCTCTCTCTCTCTCTCTCTCTCTCTCTCTCTCTTTGCGTGCTTGTGTTTGTGTGTATGTGTGCATGTCTTTCTATGTGGGTTTCCTTGTGTGAGTAGCAATGGAAGCATTTTTTGTGTGAGTTTGTGTTAGTGATTTATTTCCATAAATGTTTGTGAATATGTGATGGATGGATGTGAATGTAAGATCTAGCGAGTGGGATAGGCAGGCAAATGTTTGTTTTGATATGAAAAACTTTTTGTCGTAACTTTTTAACATTTTGTCCGGTCGCAAATATTTATTCGCCATAAAGTTCTGAACGATCCAGAGCCAGCCAGTCTTTACAAGATAATATTAAAATTTATTTTAATATTAAAATTGATTTCGCAATTTAATTATTTTCAACTATAAAAAAATTTAAGTATATTACAAAAAAACTGAAATTTTTTATCCAATTTACTTCATCCAGAGTGCCCAGGAGATATGAAATCAAACGTGAACTTAAAATAGCATGGCACTAAATGGTGAAATTTTTCTAATATTCTCTATCCAAGGGCAAAATATCCATGCAGTGACACGCACACACACGCACACACACACACACACGCATATGCACACATACACGTACACACGCAAACGCACACAAACACGCACACATTCATGTACACAAATAATTAGACCAGTTAATTAATGATCTATTCTAGTAGTGACAGTAGCATTTCACCGCTATTCATTTTAACAATCAGCAAAGCAAACATCTTCAACATTGGCGAAAACATGAAAAACAAAAAAAACCACTAACTCTAGAATAATAGTAATAATAATAACGACATTGACACAAAAACGTAGCTGATGAACTTCCTTGAGCTAGA